TTTAAATTCATCTAGTCCTCAGGATTTTTTTCCTACGGAGCTCATTTATACCTTGTTCAATTTCTTCTTTTAAGATAGGGTTATTTAAGATTCTATTTCCTTTTCTGTTAATTTGGGCAGCTTAGATTTTTATAAGGATTCTTCCACTTCATGCAAGTTATCAATTTTGCTAGCATATGATTGGGCAAAATAACTCCTAAGCATGGCTTTAGTTTAATCTTTGTTGGTTATGTGTTTACCCTGTGAAAGACAGATTTCTGTCCCCAATTGAATATTCCCTCTTCGAGCCAAATCCTTTGAGAGTAAGGTTCAAGCAATGCTGACCCAGAGGCAGCAAGTGTGACACTTGCGCCATGAGCCTGAGTTAGTGGGAAGATGGTGGCACCACTGGTGGACAGGAATAGGGAAGAGAATTATCAATCTGGTTGGGTTCAATGAAGCAAACCCTGTACTTATGCTGGGTGCCAGACACACAATGCTAGACACCACTTAGGCTCTTTTCTAAAAATCCAACACTCCACTGGGGAAGGGCCAAGCACAGAAGTTACCATGATGCAAAGGAGAGTCAGGCAAAGTGCTTCAAGAAACCTGAGGAGGAAGGCATTCACGTAGGCCATCAGAGAAGGCCTTGTAGAGGGAGGATAGCGTCTGAGTGAATTCTCAAAGGAAGGGAGAGACTTCAGTGGGGGGCTCTATTCCAAGATGGAAGATGCCATGAGCAAAGGCACAGAAGGGGGAGAGGGCAAAACAAGGTCAAGAATCAGAGAGCAGTCTTGTTTGGCTGCAGCATAGTGGACATGAAGGGGAATTGTCTGGAGTCTCATTGTCAAGGGTGTTGAATACTAGGATCAGCAGATTGTACTTAATCATGTAGGCAACAGGGAGCCACTGAAGGTCTTTGAGCAGGGGAATAACAGGATCTGGAGAGAGGAGCCTGGAGGTAAGAACAACAATTGAAAGGCTCTTATAAGATGGACATTCTTCCTTTTGTGCTGCCTGGGGCTGTGGGGTACTCTAGTGGACGCTCTCTTCAGGTTCCTTCCTGGCCTAGTGTTTACTTTGAGGGCCTCCTTGATTCGAGAGGAAAGATTTGGTATTGTGGCTAGGTGACTGTCATCCATACGTATTGGACGGCCTCAGCCGCCCTGTAGAGGTTACAGGAAAGAAACAGGAGTGGGTTGGGTTTTTGCTGACCAACATGGGGAAACTGAGGCATGTTTGTGCTGATCCTTAGGAACAGCGACTGGTGGAGGACTCTGCACATGTGGAAAAAATGCAATTCAGGTGAGAGCCAGCCTCTCCAACAGGAAGGAAGGAGGTGGTGTTTCCCTGCCCAGAATCGTACGCCTCTAGGGGCACTGAGCATCTTAGCTGCTAATTTGTTTTTGGGCAAGTAGACCCTTACACATATATCATTCAGGTCTGCTTCACCCATATTCAAGAAGAACAGCCTTCTGGGACCCCTAGATAAGTGAGCAACTGTTCCACTCTCCCCACTCTTTCTCCCATCCCTGGTGTGCATGAAAGAAGTCTAAAGTACAGGGATGGGGGCATGACTGGCTTCAGGCTGAAGCAGTGGCTCAGAGAAGGCTTCCTGGACACCAGAGCTGGGCCTTAAGGGCCAGCCCCCCAAATTCTCCAAGCAATGAAATGAGGGCAGCATATCTGGCCAGACAGGGCTTTGTGCGCCCAGTGGATTTGCCCGTGCATCTGCTTGGGTGGCCCCCTCCCTTGGGATGGATCCTGATTCCATGGTTTCCATCTCTCTCCCTAGCACAGGGAATTGAACCATCCACGTGTCCTGCCTGTGGACGTTGGCCAAGTCCCTTCACCTCCCTGTGACACATTTTCTTCATCTGTAAATGAGGGTGTGGAACTAGGTGATATCTCTACATCCCATGATCCCTTGCAAAGCCCCAGCTCAGCCAGGGAGTTAATGGCCCAATCGGCAGAATCAACTTCTCCAAAATTCTGCTCCTGTGCCCTTTCCAGAGAAGACCCTAGCACGATGACAAAATGTGTCGGAGAGAAGTGGATTTGGGGAACAAGAGTGAGAATTTTGCAGCTTTGCCTGGAACCCCATTATTTGAATGTGGCAATGCATATATGTGGCAATGATGAGCTGTTCCTCCTGTCTTATCTGCAAGAAGAACTTGGGTTATCTATAAGAACTTTCCATGGCCATAAGGGGCCTCTAAAAACTGAGTGCCTAAAAACTTTCAAATATACCTCTTAGAAGTAAGAAAATGCAGTGAAATTCCCAAGCTGTCACCAGCATTTCCACTTTCTTGTAGAAAAGTCCTCCTGCCACTGCTTTTCTGGCAAGACCCCGATCACAGTCCTAAAATGACATCACTCCCCCAGAATTGGGAGGACCGAGCAAGAAGAGATCCAAATAGCTGTGTCCTTCAATCCACCCAAACGGGACAATGCCATCAAAAGAATTGGCATCTGGCAGGAATTAAGCTGTTTGGCTGGGAAATGAGAGGCTTGGACTTGATCTCAAATGTTCTGTGTTCTAAGATCTAGTTCTAATATACTCTGTTCTAAAGTTCCGCCACTAATTCTAACCCCTTTTCTTTTAAGGTCTTCCCCATATTTGACATTCTGTGTTCTGGGATCCATTCCAGTTTTAACTTCCTACATTCTAGAGTCCCTTTCATTTCTAACATTCTGTGTTTGAAACTAATGGTCTGTTCTAAATTCCTTTCCAGTTCTGACATGGTTTGTTTTAAGGTCCTTCCCAGCTCTAACATCCTCTGTTCTAAAATCCCTTAACAGTTGTTACTATTCCAAGGTCCTTTCCAACTCTGACATTCTATGTTCTTTGTTCAACTGTAGTCTCTAAGATTCCGCCCATTTTTATGTTCTCTGGTTCTCTAGCTACCCAGACATGTTCTCCAGCACTTACAGGTTACCCCATAATGTTATAACTTGCTATACATAAGGAAATGTGTCCACGCTGAGCCGGTCCATCTGACCAGGGCTCCTCAGTAAATACTGATTTGTTAATTTTACATATTCCTTCTTATGATGAAGCCTTAGAAGGCTAGAAAAAGGTGATAGTATGTGTCTAGGGAACTAGGCCACAGGCACCCTTCTGAGTCCACGAGGCCTTTCCCAACACACAGTGTTATCACCCAAAGTTGGGACAGCATTGGGGGTTAAGGAGCCTGACTACCCAGGTCACTGGAGGAAGAAATGGATGTGAACTAACCTGGCTGCCTTGAAAGCAGCTGAAACTTGGAGATAAAAGCCAAAATTAGAGACAACAACAACAACAATAATAGTAGTGGCCAAGGATGTTTCTGCCCAAGGCTGTCCTCCAGGAGGCTGTTTGTAGGAACGCATCAGAGACCCCCATCGTGGTCCCATTTCCAATGATGCTGGCAGGCATGGGAGGAAGGATAGGAGGGCTACCAAACAGACAGTCTAGGGGCAGCTAGGTGGCTCAGTGGATACAGCACCTGCCCTGAAGTCAGGAGGACCTGAGTTCAAATCTGGCCTGAGACCAAACACTCAACACTTACTAGCTCTGTGACCCTGGGCAAGTCACTTAACCCCAATTGCCTAAAAAATACACAATAATAATAAAAAACAAACCAACCAGTGTGCCTGAAGGCAGCTGAACTTGTTAACCATTAAAAATTCAATTTCCATCCCTCTCCTGGGCCTCTGCAAGCAAGTAAGGGAAAATGTATGTAGCTTTGGGGCTCTCCCTGAGAGGCAAAGCTTGAATGGGAAGAGTGCACCTGGTGGTGGTAAGTCCCCTTGTTCTGGCTGGATGACCAAGTTTCACGCTGTCCTCTAGGTGAGGCAGGCCTGCCTGCCCTCCAGATGTGATCTTTCCTGTTTTTGTTTTTCATTTTGTTCACTTGTTTTCAGTCACCTCTGCCTCCTTGTAACCCCATTTAAGGTTTTATTAGCAAAGATACTGGAGTGGTTTGCCATTTCCTTCTCCAGCTCATTGTATAGATGAGGAAACTGAGGCAAACAGGGTGGAGTGACTTGCCCAGGGCACACAGCTAGTGTCTGAGGCCGGATTTGAACTCAGGAAGATGAGCCTTCCTGATTCCAGGCCCACCACTGTATTCCCTGCACCACGTGACTGCTTCTATGGTTTGGTTCACACGTGTTCAGTCACATCTGACTCATTGTGACCTTTTTGGGGTATCTTTCTTCCCTTCACCCTGATGGTGGGGAGTCCCTACCTCCCCAGGTGTACTCCATTGAACATGGTTGCAAAGAGCTGTGCTTGGATTCCGAATTGAAGGGAATTCTTTGACATTAAAAACCAGCTTTGAATTTGTAAATGGTTTTTTTTAATTTTTTTTGTCTTTAAATGCTATTACTTCAACAATACTTATCCATTTTCTCTATGAAAACATCTGAAGAGCTTAACAATTTATCTACTATCACTCAACATGAAAGATTAAATTGGAGAAGTCAGAAAGAATCCAAAATACAACAACATAACAACAAATAAAACTGTTACAAGCAAATATTTGCCACCATATGGTGGATATGATCTTATTATCACATTCAGTAGCAGTTAACACTGAAGTTGTTTTCTGTTTGTTTGTTTGTTTTGTTTTTTACCATCAAGCACTAATGACAACATGAAGAACAGTAAACTCCTGGCTTTCGAAATTGAGGCTCCTTTCTTTTTTTCAAACTTTAAAGACATATCTGAAGTGGCTGAAGGTGGAAAGATGGTAGGGCAAGAAAGACTTACCCTCTTTTCCACACCAAAAAAAAAAATCCTAAAATAATGGAATTCTTTGGGGAGGATGGCTTTGGTTCCCAAAGCTGGAATGATCAATTGACACTAGGTCCATTCCAACTCTTTGCCCAAGGCCTAAAACTCATTTGTAAAAAAAGCCAGCTCAACCCTCGACAGAAAGGGGAGCTCAGTGTCGCCAGGACCTTATTCAGGAAATGCAAAGGGAAATGCATTGACCAGCTTGCCAGATTCATCCTCCACCTTGTTATAAACCCACTTGAGATTCTGGTGGCACTTGACTCCACATTTCCTGGAGTTGCACCTGGGGCATGGGTGGAAACAGCCGGCACAATCAACCTGCAGGCAGTCACACAGTTCGATACCATTACAGATCAGCCTGCCTTTCCGGTCATACTTTCTCCTGTTTTTCTTGAGCCCCATGAATATTTTGGGGTGGTAAGGATACACATCTGGCCTCTGCCTAGGTGCTGAGCTCCCTGGGGCTCCTCTTCCTGCTGGATTTCAGAATCGGCAACTGCTGCCTGGGCTACTGCATTTCTCCCCTTGGAGAACACACCTGCTGCTTCTTCTCTGCCCTCTCATCAACTTCCTCTTGATTGGTATCGAACTCTTCACTGCGCATTTCAACATCTGCACTCATTTTCGATAATTGGTTGCAGGATCCTTCTCCTCTCTGCTTTGGGGTGAGCTCCTGAATCTTAGGAATGATAGTGCAAAACACGTCATGACTAAAAGCACACGAGTGTGACGACAAAGCTGATTAAGAGGCTGGTAATGCCACAAACTCATGAAAAACAACATTTGAAAGATTATTTTCATTTTTAAAACATTGCTATGTCTCCTGTGAAAATTCAACATAACCATCATCATGAGCTGGACATTGGTTGATTTTCAAACTTTCTAAAAACTCTCATCAGCTGATGATCAATGATTGAAAAGACTCCACGTGCAATCCTGGCCTGAAGATAATGCAAAGAGCAAAGTTTTGATGCATACAGGACAGCTTTCACATGGCCCCAGAAAAAAAAAAACTAGCAGAGAGAGATCAGGTAATCAAGGTGGCAAAGGAAGAGAATAGCCTTTACTATCCACAGCTCTGAGAAAGTAGCATCCATAATATGTTAAATGCAATTCGAGGTTACAGGATTCCCTCATCACGTCAAAATTTAAATGAAAACTTTGTTATTCAAAATTCACAAAACAAAATGAGTGTAAAAGAAACTTTAAAATATCAAATTATTTTTTTAAAGTTTGTAACATTTATGCATCTGATGTAATTGGAGCTTAAATCTGCACTAAGACCTTTGGGACAGCCTGCATGTAGCCAAAAGCAGACTCTGAATTTTTTTTTTGCTAGCAGAAGGGATAGAGCCAGAAAGAAGACTGTGTACATATATGTGCATGCAAACCCATCTCTATAAACATGGGCAGAATATGAGAGGAGAGCATTGCCCTGAGCCAACTGCTTCCTTTTCCACTAAGAAATCATTGGGGTTTTCATAATGAGAAGTTAGGGGTCAAGGACCGGGAAGGGTGGTGTCTCATCCCCAATTTACAAAGGGCAGTCAAGAGTCCCTGTGGTGCTGGTTCTGCACTGTTAGGCTCACAGAAGGGGCAGCCACTTGACGTGTGGGCGATGATCCAGAAAGAGGCCTCTTTGGATGGGAAGAGGAATGGGTTTTCACTAGAGCCTAGGTACGAAACAGAATTTTGACTCAGAAATACAAATACAGGAGGGAAAAACTGGGAGCAAGTAAGCAGACTTGATTGTTAGGGTGACGTTTCCTGCAAGTCAGTGCAGCTTTCCTTTCTATGTCCATGAAACCCCCTGTTTGTAGGCACAGGCATCTCCCCCACTCACTTGTACCCAAGCGATGGCCCTCCTTCAGGGACGCAAGTCTTTGCCCGCACATCCCCTGCTTCCTAAACAAGATGCCATGTGGGCAGTGACTGAGGGAGGCAGCAGAGGCAAGGAAGAGAAGGAGAAATCTCTGCCAGGGAGTGTTTAAATTTTTTTAAAATGGCCAAGTCCTGGCCTAAGAAGAACGGACCCTCTCCTGGATACTTGGGTGGGGGGGAGGCCTGGTGGCGTGGCCATTTTGGGGGGAGTCATGAAGAAGAGCCACCTGTCCTCCAGGTCACCATCTGGCCTGCCACTTGACCTATTTAATTGTTATCTTCGTGAGCTCTGGGATAATCCAGGCTCTTCATTAACTAATAACTTCTTGACTTAGTCTCCATGAATCAGCTAAGCTCAAAATTTACTCATCAAATATTATATTAGTTATTATATCATATCGAACACATCAAATACCCTACAGAAACCACCCTTCCCCATTTCTGATTGGACAAAGGCCCACAGGGCCACGGAGTAAAGGACTCAGCAGGTCTAACAGGCCCAATTCAGCACCTCGCACTTAGACCCCTGATGAAACACAACCATAGTGGCTTCAGTGCCTCCAGAAGCTCCTTCTGGGGCCCTCTCCCCCAGACCCCAGACCCTTGACCCTCTCACCTAGAGGATGGAGAAGGATCAGAGATGAGGCCTATCTCTCTCAGGAGACCCTCAGAGACACCCTGCCTCCAGGTCCCCCAGTGACAGAAAGGAAGGAGCCTGCTCTGCACCCTAGGGATAAAGGGATGCAGGTGAAGGCAGAGGAAAGGGCAGAGAGAAGAGGAGGGAAGGGCCAGAGGAGCACCCCCAGGGAGGGAGAGGAGCAGATGGGGAGGAGCAGAGAGGACCAGAGGTGCTGCTGTGCCCCTAGGAGATGCAGGAGAAGGAATGCAAAAGTGCAGAGAGAGGGGAAGGGGAGGGCCATAGGGACACCCATAGGAAGGGAGAGGAGGAGAGGGGGAGGAGCAGAGAGGGCCAGAGATGCTGCTCTTCCCCCTAGGGATAAAGGGATGCAGGACAGGGCCCGGAAAAGTTCAGAGAGAGGGGGGGAGGGCCAGAGGGGAATCTACAGGGAGGGAGAGGAGCAGAGGGGTAGCAGAGAGGCCCAGACGTTTTGCTCTGCCCCAGCAGGGGCAACATGGAGTTAGGCTGGAAGGGGCCTCACAATGTCATCTAGGAAAACCTCCTCCTTTTACAGGGGAGGAAATTGAGGCTTATGGAGGGGAAGGGGCTTGTTCATGGTCATGCATAAGATCATAGATCTAGCTCCCAAAGCGGGTGATACTGCCCTCTGGGGGCGCTGGAACGATCCAGGCAGATGGTAGTAGCCTAGGGTGCAATTGGGGGGCACTGAATAAAAATAAGGGGCAGTTGAAACATAAAGAAAGAGTACATTGTTTTCATTTTTGTTTTTTCTGAGGTAATTGGCGTTAAGTGACTTGCCCAGAGTCACACAGCTAGTGAGTGTTATGTGTCTGAGGCTAGATTTGAACTGAGGTCCTCCTGATTCCAAGGCCGGTCCTCCATCTACTGCGCCACCTAGCTGCCCCAAGAAGAAAATTCTGAAACACATTCGTACATGTTTCACCTGTTGTGTAACAGAGTTAAAGTCATACTGACTACATTATTTTCCAAATAATCACAAAAAATGCAAGTTATAACTGATCGGCAGTCAAGTCCCCTGACAGGTCAGAACACGCAAGTGTTGGCAGGTGAGGATGTTGAACAATGTCAGGAAGTCCAGCAGGCATCTGAGGAATATGTGTATTTAATGACTTGTTTACAACATACTATATGGTTGCATGGCACAATATTGTGTCATCAATATTTCAATGCAGGGAAAAAACCGCGAATTTAAAATAAATTATTAAATTTAAAATGCATCATTTTTTCAATTTTTTTTTGTTTTTTTAAAATGATGCAAATTTAAAAAAAAATAAAGTTTAATGAAAATAGATTTCCAGGGAGGCGCTGAGTAATTTTTTTTTTTGAAAAGGGTGCAGTTAGCCAATAATTTTGGAGACATCTGCTGAAAAACTTGACGAGACCTAATTGTCATCTTTTGAACACCTTCATTTTACAAAGGAGGAAAGTGAGGTCTAGAGAGGTCAAATAATGACCGATGGTCATCCAGGGAATTACGCAGAGACCAGATTGGAATACATTTTTAGTAATGAGAGAGACAGTGACAGAGAGACAGAGACAGGGACAAAGAGAGAGAGAGAGAGAGAGAGAGAGAGAGAGAGAGAGAGAGAGAGAGAGAGACAGGGACAGAGACAGAGACAGAGACAGACAAAGAGGGAGAGACAGACAGACAGAGAGACACATACACACAGATCCTGTTAGAGGATTAATGATACCTGCCTCTGCACTCCTCCAAACTGGGAATCTCCTTCACATTGAATACATGTAGCTGCAGCCTCAGCTGTGGGCCAGAAGTGAGAGCCACAGGGCTCACTCGCCCTTTAAAAAGGAGATTAGAAAAATTTTCTTTAAAAAAAGGGAGAGAAATTGGACTGACATGAAGGAGCCCTCGCCTGTTTGCACAGAAGCCACCTCCTCCACTCAGTGGCACAGCCTCTTCTTAGATGCTCTCTCATCTATGTACTTATTAGCAACCTCTCTCTCAGTGCTGCCAGGCTGCCAGACACTGAACTAGGTACCAAGAACCCCATACAGAAGGGAAACAGGACCCGCCCCCAAGGCCCTTCCATCCTCCCGTGTGGATGCTCTGGCAAACAGAAATAAAGACAAACATTCCTCCTTGCACTCCTCCTCTGGGGGAAGGGAAGGAGGTCATTTTGGGAGCCTCCTCCTGTCCAGGTAACAGGGGCACAACTGCTAGTTACTCTCCTGGGAGCATGAACACAGGCCTGGGTTTTTGGCCCCTTTCTGTCCCCAAAGGTTGGGTGACATTGGGCAGCACATTGACCGTTTTAATTATTTTGTGATTTTAAAAATTTTTTTTTCCATATGCTTTTGAGTTGAAAATTTTTCTCCCTTTTCCTCACCGTCCCCTCCCCAAGACTGCACACAATCTGATACAGGCTTTACATTTGCATACCCATTAAGCATATTTTCACATTAGTGAAGTTGTAAGTAAAAATTAAATCCAATAGGAGGAACCATCAGAAGGATGAAACAAAACTCAACAGAAGGTAAAAATAAGTGAGAGTGATTCGACTTCCATAGTTCTTTCTCTGGATATGGACCACATTTTCCATCCCGAGGCCTCTGGAGATATCTTGGATCCTCATAATGCTGAGAAGTGTTCAGTTTAACAATCTTAGTCATTGTATAACTTGACTGTTATTGTGTACAAAGTCCTCTTGGTTCTGCTCACTTCACTCAGCATCAGACCATATAAGTCTTTCCAGGTTTTTCTGAAGTCAGCCTGTTCATCATTTCTATAGCATAATAGTATTCCATTACATTCACATACCACAACTTGCTCAGCCATTCCCCAATTGATGGGCATCCTCTCAATCTCCAATTCTTTGCCACCACAAAAAGAGCTGCTGTGAATGTTTTTGTACATGTGGATCCTTTTCCTATTTGTTTGATCTCTTTGGGATATAGCCCTAGAAGTGCTATTGCTGGACCAAAGGGTATGCACACTTTTGTAGCCCTTTGGGCATAGTTCAAAATGTTCTCCAAAATGGTTGGATCATTTTGCAACTCCACCAACAACGTATTAGCGTTCCAATTTTCCCACATCCTCTCCAACATTTATCATTTTCCTGTTT